TTTTGTCTATTGGGTCCCCTGTTGTCTATTCAAATGGAATGTCTATCCCTGCTAGCTATTATCAAGTCGTGTGACTTTGGTTGAGCACTTCTATCAGGTTACGGATGAGCGGGTACCAGACTGAGTGTTTTCGAAGTCCTCTGGGCCTGGTTGACTATTTGGACAGATTGTCTATCTCTGTTGGCGTCTGCCAAAATCGCTGTGTTTTTGGATGAGCAGTGCTTTCCATCAGTTTTTGGATAGGCTGGTGACAGTCTGCAGAAGTACTTGTAGTGGTAGTTTGCATTTTCTGTCCCTCAATCCTTGAGCTTGCTCATAGCCTCTGACAAGGCTGGTTCTAGCGACGGCTGAAACATGCACTTCTAGCGTACTAGTCACTAGGATGTCGCGTGTTCTTCAACTTCAAAAAAAAATTGAGACCCTATAACACTCAGCATGTAAACTACTATTATGGGGGAAGTGTTGCAGCGTTCGTGATTCTCCACCTCGTACGATGCTCTCTTGTTTCCTTCTCCCCTTAACTGACATTTTGTTAAGACTGGCGTTTTTTTTCTAAATTCACAAAATTGAGCGTGCAAAAAAACAGGTTTTTTTTGCATTTTTTTGTCCCCATGACGTCGGACCATCTGATGGTCGGGCGTCGTGACGAAGCCCGGTGATTGGACCCTCGGATGTATTTTGACGGTACTTTACATTGAGAATCTTGAGATACATCAGATGATCAAAGTGAGATTACCATACCGTCAAAATACATCCGAGAGTCCAATCACCGGGCTTCGTCACGACGCCCGACCATCAGATGGTCCGACGTCATGGGGACAAAAAAACGCAAAAAAATACTGTTTTTTCGTACGCTCAATTTCGTGAATTTAGAAAAAAAATGCCAGTCTTAACAAAATGTCAGTTAAGGGGAGAAGGAAACAAGAGAGCATCGTACGAGGTGGAGAATCACGAACGCTGCAACACTTCCCCCATAATAGTAGTTTACATGCTGAGTGTTATAGGGTCTTCCCTTCCCACCACCCCCCAATGCGATGGTCCCCTTATGTTGGCATGGCCTGGATCCATGAGTAGATCCAGAGGTACTAATGGAACACCTGCAAAGGAGAAGTTCAGATACAGTAAAGAGCTAGGTGACCAAGATCTTCTTATCTGGCGCCCTACTAAGGGTGAAGAGGCTCAAGCCAGTACCTACTATGTACAATCATTATTTTGCTGTGTACACAATGGGACGCTGGACCCGGTTTTAAGCAGGTGCAGCTCCCCACCAATAGATGGAGCGACGAACAGAAAACCTTAGTAGGGAGGGATGCTCGTATCACCCTTCCTACCAGGGTTTTCAACGAGTCTTTTCAAAAAAAAAAAA